ATCACTGAACACTATGGGCAATGTAGCATGGCCAAACCACCTAGCCTGCAAATCTTTGGACTGTGGGAGGAAACTGGACCACCCAGAGGAAACCCACGCAGACACGGGGAGAATGTGCAAACTCCACACAGACAGTCGCCCTAAGGGCGGAATCGAACCAGAGTCCCTGGTGCTGTGAGGCAGCAGTGCTAACCACTGAGCCACTGTATTTCTATGTTAGGCCCCCTAACCTGCTTAATTGAGGCAGCCACACTGGCTCACTGGCCAGTGAATTAATACAACTATGACAAATGACTGATGGAGTTGAGGTCTGAGTCATATCTGACAGATATTAACTGGTTTGCTGGATCTGGTCCATGGAGGCAGAATTTGGGCTGATTTCTTTAGCCTTTGCTCTAATCTGTGCAGGATCTCTGGCACTTCTGCCAGCTATTTTGTCAGTTCATTATTGGCTTTTGACTTATTCCACAGATTTCAGAAAGAACCTATACCTTTAGGACACGAAGATGATATCACAACTTGTGATGATCTGGTGTAAGAGGTCTCCATCTTGTTCTGTACATTCAGTTATGTAGTCAGTTGGACTGACAGCCACTCTGTTAGTCAGCAAGTCAGGTTGGGAGCTCTTGTGGCACAGTGGTGTTGTCTCCACCTCTGGGACAGAAGGCATAGGTTCAAGTCTCACTTGCTTGAGAGATGTGCCATAACACGGTTGATTAAAAATATCTATTATCTAGAGAGTATAGGGTCTTGTGGTGTTGTGGTAGTGTCCTTACTCCTAGGCCAGAAGTTTTAGGATGAAGTCCCACCTGCCCCGGCCATGTCTAAACAGATTGATGAAAATAACTATAACCCAGGCTGTATGTGTAAATTTGAGATGTCATATTAGTGCACATAGTTATTAATAAACTTTCAGATATCCGTCTCAATAAGAACTCAACTTGCTATGTTATATGGGCTAACTATTAGAAAACTTATATCAATGGCTAAGTCTAGAGGCTCCTCATCTGTATTGGACTTAGCAGGAGTCTATTTTCCAGTAGTTCTATGAGTGTGAGAGGCCTCAGTTACTTCATTACCATCTGTGTGAAGAAATTCCTCTTCATTTATGTCTTTACTAGTTTTCTCCTTAACTTGAGATTATGTTCCCTGGTTTTAAAGTAAACAGACAGTCGATATATCTTTATATATATATTGCCTGATAGAAATTACTGTATTTCTTAAGGGTAGGATTGAGGCTATTGATCTGCTGCTCAACCTCTGACATGAATCCACCTCAGTCAGCTGGTGCTCCACAGTCATTGGAGATTAGTCATGGGGCATGATCAAAGGGATCTCTGGTTCAATGTGAATATGGTTCAATATGAATATGGCTAGTCACTGTTGATTGTGTGGAAAATGAAGAGGAATCTGCAATGATGCATGAAGAAGATCTCTATCTCCCATCCCTAGAGTCAAAACAAAAGTTTGATTGCACTCCTTCTTGAGTAGAAAGGTGTCCTGTTTCTTGGCATCAGTGAAAAGATAGCAATTGCCCGCAGAGGCCCACTACTTTGTCATCTGAACTGTATATCCATATTGTTTGGTGGCCTTTGAAATTGTCAGTCTGAATTTCAAGGTAAGTTCAAGGTAAGTTATGATAGGTAATATTGAAAAGTCCCACCTTAAAATTAATTAGTTTGTATACATTGCTAATTTTTTTTAGAGACATTATTGGCATGTGTTTTTCTTATGGATAGACAAGATAATCAGGTTGCCTTGTAAGTAGATTGCAATGCTACACTTAGCATGATGCACTGCTACAATCAGGGTAGTTTAGAGGTGCTGAGCTTATTATTCGTATATTTCTCATACAGAACAGGATTATCAACATCATGGTCTTTAGCAGTTCCTGACAGATAGTCACACCTTGCTTCAGAAATAATTTCTTTCATTTCATTGTTAAATATGAAGAGATCTCCATGTGTTATGAGGTGAATAATGAACTCTGCAAGTCAAATTTATGGTATTAATTAAAAACAGGGAGGACCACCTGAATGTTGTTATCTTTCAATCCTTCCCTTGAAAATAGTGATCTGCACTCTCCATGCAAAGAAATCACATCTGCTTCACAAAGAGAATTCCAAGGACAGCCTGGCATGTGACTGACAATTGGATTAGATCATTCCCTACATTGTGAATGAATGTTGCTAACAAAAAAAATTGTCATATGGTTCAAGGCAATCCACCGAACTGCCCTGACTTGGATGTTCAACTTAGATTGTAAATCTGCAAGATATCATATCCTCAAAGAAGACCTCCTGTTTTTTTTTACCCTTCAGACAATGTTCGTGTCGCGTGCCTTGGGCATTCTAGTCCTCATCCAACTGGACAGCACTTACACCCTCCCCTTTCCCCATCTGCATATATTTTCCCTCTCACTCATACACTCTTCACCCCTACATCTTTGTGTCCTTGCTCCCATGCCAAATCTCGGTCTTTCTTCCTTATTTCCAGTCTCTCTCATTCTCTGTCTTCCTGGTTGCTTTGTCACTCTTTCTCCAGCTGTTTTACTGTCTCTATCTTTTTCCTTTGTCTCCCCACCTCTAATTCCACCCCCCGTCACTCTCTATCTCTCTCTGTCTCTTTCTCTCTCACTCTCGATTCCTCTCCTGCTTCCTCCACAAAACACAGATAAAGGAATGCCTCCAATAGAAATACTTATGTCTCCTATAACATGTGCTGAAACATCCCAACAGCAAGTTTGGTAAAAAGAACATACAAGAAATTAAGTAGCCAAGAGTAAAATTTGAGCAAATGCTTATATCTCAAAAGATAGTCTTTAATTATTGTTCCACCTGTCTGCTGCTGATTAATCTAATTTTGTACTGGTGTTCATTTCAGGGAGTGGGCCACAGGTGGCCAGGAGTAGTAGTACACCATAAACACTAAAGGGGTATTTAAATATAATTTTCATGTGGCAGGCTGCAATTAGCAGACACAGCTGCCAAATCGCATAACCCATCGAGGAAAATTGTAATGGTGATTTTTATGAGCAGGCAGTTGGCCATGTGCCTCCCTGACCCGTTTACTTCGTCCAGCAACTGGGGGCTGACTTAACATGGATAGTAAGAGAAGATCCAAGAGAGTTAGTGCGTGGATTAAGCTGCTAAATAGCAGAACTAGTATCCTACTTCATTGAAACACTCAAAAGAAACTTGATCTTGACCAAATACGGGATTAAAATTAATACCATTTTGTAAAATTCACCTAAACAGCCTGAAACAAAAAAAGGAGTGCTGGAAATGCACAGGTCAGGCAGCATCTGTGGACTATGTTGGCTCTATTTCTCGCTCCATTTTCCGGTAACCACAAACATTCTGTTGTATTAATGCCAAAACAGGTTAAGCTAGATATGGTGACTTATTCCTATTTTCAGTTAAATTGTCACATTATTTGTATGAAATGCTCGTCAGAATGTTTTTTCTCTTATTTTGAAAAATAATCTCATCAGTTCATTTTCAGTTTTCTTCTGGTTATGACTCAAGTAAATGTTAGATACTGGCTATGTGTCCCCAGTTTAATCTACTTAAGTATTTTACGAAAACAGTATTATGTTCCAGATTAAAAGCAAAATACTGCAGATGCTGGAGATGTGAAGTGAAAACAAAAGCTTCTGGAGAAATTCGTTAGGACTGACAGTTTCTGTGAAGAGAGAAAAACGGAGTTGACATTTCAAGTCCAAAGACTCTTCTTCAGATTCCAACAAAGAGTCGGTGGACTCTAAAGGTAGCTTAATAAAAACCAGAAGAACTGCGGATGCTGTAAATCAGGAACAAAAACAAATTTGCTCGAGGCAAAGTCCCAGCTCCCCACACCACGCACCAGGCCTTGTTACCACATAGCCTGCCATTACACACCGTCTGTTGTTAGTCACTAACAGTCCCCATTAACAACTACTCACCCTCCCAGCCTGATCGTTAGCAGCTCCTTTGTCGGTCCAACTGTCTTTCTCTCTCTTTGGGCTCTATCCTATCATTTACTCCCTACCCCACCCACCACCCTATTTTCTGCATATAAACTGACATTTTCTGATGAAGGGTCTAGGCCGGAAACGTCAGCCTTTCTGCTCCTATGATGCTGCTTGGCCTGCTGTGTTCATCCAGCTCTGCACCTTGTTGTCTCGGATTCTCTAGCATCTGTAGTTGCTACTATCTCTGATTCAATTTTCCCAGCCACCATCAGTTCTGAGGAAGGGTCACCAGACCCGAAACGTTAACTCTGTTTTCTCCTTCACAGATGCTGCCAGACCTGCTGAGCTTTTCCAGCAACTTTGTTTTTGTTTCTAAAGGTAGCTTTGTTACTTTCTCTATATATGCTGCCAGACGTGCTGAGTTTCTCCAGCACATTTTGTTTCCATATTATGTTTCCAGAAACTGGATTTCAGTGCTACTGAAAAGTGAACGTTTCCCCACTTTAGGAGTTTATAACACTCTATCAAATGATCCAAGATTGGGTATGGTAAAGACTTTTGGACTCTTATCTGAAATGCAAACATTCCTGCCTCGCCAGTGTTCATTTCCTTTCTCCACATCAGCCATCCTCAATAGAATATTGAAATGGGATTAGCAATTCCTAGCACATTGGAAGCACCTTTCTCCCATAGACTTTAGTCTTCAAGGAGCTAGAGCTGATATTTCTTAGAGAAGGCAGAATCAAATTTGTCTCATTTTGCTTGGGCTAAATTCAGGTCCAGACCAGGCACCAAATTACGTGCAAATTGACGCCTTGCATCACCCAGTTTTCAACTATAAGACTGGTATAAAAAATAATGGAAATGGAATTGACTATGATTTTTTAAAAGAAAAGTACCATATCTACATTTTGAAAATGATTCAGTGATTCTGTAAAGGCCCTGTTATGAGCTTTTTTGATGTCTTTGATCTTGATTTATTCATTAGATTGTATTATATCTACATTCAATCTGCTTATACTACCTCTCTAAATTTTGTCTTGTTTAGGTATGGGCTGTTTCTGGGGTGCTGAGAGAAAATTCTGGGTTCAAAAAGGTGTTTATTCCACTCAGGTTGGATATGCTGGTGGATTTACCCCAAACCCAAACTATAAGGAGGTCTGTTCAGGTATGTCAGAATTTCTTCTTTGCTTTTGGGCTAAGTGACATGGTTCAGGAGCTGACGTGTTTGGAAGCATTTGTACATGTGCTGACAAGGTATTGAAATAAATTTTTAAAAGAAAAGTTTATTTGGCAAATTTCACAGCTTACATGTTACATTGATCTTTGGACACCTAACAATGATTACAAGTTGAGAATTGTATCATGGAGTTTGGGTGTTGCTTTTGTTCATATTTTACATGAGAGATGCAATAGTTCTGGGCAATGAGAGGGCACTTTTAAAGTCATCTCAAATGAGTGCCTTGATGATGGATCTTTATAGTCAATGTCTGGTTATTTATGTTCTTTTCTCAGAGCAGGAATTATGCCTGTTAATTAGTAATGCACTGCCTGCTGTTTAATGCATGATCATATTGAAGGTTCCATGATTGTACTTTAATCACTTAAAATATACCCGATAATTTGCAATGCATTAATAGGAGAGAATGCAACATAATCCATAATGTTACAAAGCAAGAAAAAAAAACTTAAAATCACACTAGCATCTTTCACAGTTTCTGGAGTCCCAATGTGCTTTATAATTCATGAATGAAGCAGTTCTGAAGTGTAACAGAAATGTGGCAGACACTTTGTACAGGGCAAGATCTGACAGACACCAGTGTGATAGCAGATAATAAAAAAATCAGTGGTTCAGGGATAACTATTGTCCAGGACACCAGAAATAACTCTACAGCTCTTATTTGAAATAATGTAGTAGGGTCTTTTACAGCTAGCTGCTTTGAAGCACTTGTTTTGTCCAAAAGATGACACCCCTGACAACACCCCTTGAATTATGTATTCAACTCTCTGGAGCAGGACTTGAAAGCACAAATTTCTAACTCAGAGTTGAGAATGTTCCTGATCCAGGGCTGTTATATCTTTCCAAATATTTTCGTTCTGTTTAAAAATACATTGTTTTTTAATTTAAGGTGTTTACTGTTCACTGCTATCTGTGCCATACACAATTCTACAGTTGTGAAGTCATGTTGATGATTTGTTGTCAGGCTCAGCTTGGTCCTGCTCTCTTACAAAGTTCACCTTCCAATTTTCCTGCCCTCTTCCATAAAGAAACATTTGTGCTTAACTCCTGCTCTAATTTGATCGATTGAAAGTAGGGAATTATGCTGAGGACCTGTATCCTGCCAATCCTTTACTCAATTTTTTCGAATACCAATGATCTTAAGTAATAAAACATTCATCCAGGAGCTTAGAATTTTTACAATTTTATTGCATTTCCAGTAGTTTCTTTCCTCCCTGCAATTGTGACACTGAAGAACTTACAAAAAAGTTACAATTTTCACACGATTAAACTGATGAGAAAAGCCATGATCATTGAACAGACATTAGAAAACTATTTAAGGAACCTTCCTTTATAATATGAAAAGTATTCTCAAAGTTTGATCATAGACATGTATAATGAAAAATGAAACCTATTTGTTATGTTTTTATTGCAATTTCCTCGAGGAAGGAGCATCACTACTATTATGACCACACTCCAGGAGAGATTTGCCAATTTGTCATAGTTCCAGACAGAGACTTCAAATCTTACCAAAGCTTTTCATCTTGCACTCATCAGAATGCTTTGCAAGAATGCAAATTCAAGCAAACCAATGCCTCTAACAATCAGAGTTCACTAGCAACCATCAGCACTCTCCCCTCCTGTTGTATAAATGTTGGATTTTCCACTCGAATTTGTATTCCATGAACGTAGGATGAATAACTGCAACAAAATGCGTCTTTCTTTTGCAATACTGGATACTACGAAACAACCGCACCCCAAATCATTTGGCTCCATGGTGAGAGGGTATAAATTGCTCTCCTTGGTAATCAAAGAAGAACAAAGAACGATACAGCACAGGAACAGGCTCTTTGCCCCCCACCTCCTCCAAGCCTGTGCGAACACATTTTGCCCTTCTATACTAAAACTGTTTTCACTTACAGGATCTGTAACCCTCCATTCCCTTCCCATTCATGTATTTGTCCAGGTGCTTCTTGAATGCTACTGTTGAGTCTGCTTCCACTGCCTCCTCTCGTAGCACATTCCAGGCACTCACCACCCTTTGTGTGAAAAATCTGTCTCGCATGTCTCTTTTAAACATACACACCACCGTTCCCCCCTCCCCCGCATCTTGAACCTGCCTCCCCTAAACTTGGAGAGGGGTGTCACTTGCCCACTCGGTTAGTTGCAACAAATTTAACTTAAAAAGCATCTCTGTCCTTTGGGTATCTTTCTCCCATACCCAAATTAACTTGTGTTTCAAAAGGAACCAATTTTAACAAGACTTTCTTGAATTAACAAAAAGTGAGTTCATTAATTGCTAATGCAAGAAGAAATAATAACACAATGTGCATGCACACAGAGTAGAAATAAGAGGTGAGCCTAGAAAAGTATAACTAAAGAAAAAATACGCAGATCTGTCTTCTGAATTGTTCGAGAATAGCATGAAAAGACGTTGTAAAGCTCAATGATTGCACAATATTCAGCACCATTTGTGACTCCTCAGATACTGAAGCAGACCATGTTCAATTGACAAGAAACTCAACTGGACTCACCGCATGAGCACAGTGGCTACAAGAATAGGTCAGAGGCTAGGAATACTGTGGTGAGTACCTCACCTCCTGACTCCCAAAAGCCTGTCCTCAATCTACCAGGCACAAGCCAGAAGTGTGGTGGAATACTCCCCACTTGCCTGGATGGGTGCAGCTCCAATAACACTCGAGAAACTCGACACCATCCAGGACAAAGCAGCCTACTTCACTGGTACCATATCCACAAACATCTACTCCCTCTCCCATCAGTACTCAGTAATAGCAGCATATACTATCTGTAAAATGCACTGCAAAATTTCATCAAAGATTGTTAGCACCTTCTAAACCCACAACCATTTCCATTTGGAAGGACACGGGCAGCAGATACCTCGGAATGCCACCATCTGCAAGTTCCCTGCCAAGTCACTCACCATCCTGAATTTGAAATATGTTGCTGTTCCTTCACTGTTGCCGAGTCAAAATCCTGGAATTCCATCCCTAAGGGCATTGTGGTTCAACCTACAGCACATGGACTGCAGCAGTTCAAGAGGCAGCTTGCCACCACCTTCTCAAGGTAAACTAGAGATGAGCAATAAATACAGACCAGCCAGCAAAACCCACATCCTATGAATGAATAAATAAAATAGGATGACAATTTTGAGCTTCTTGGTTTTGCAGGTTGGCAGAAATTCCGTTCTTTTGATTCCTTTCAACAGTGACTAATTTGCAATATACAGAGTGAGGTGGAGAACATGACTATTTGAAATGGCTGCTTTCAAAGCTATGGCCATAACAGCACTCCAATCTTCACAATAGGCCATCTGACCAATAGTATACACAGATTAGCCTTGCAGTCAGTTTTTAAGTCCTCCTTGTGTATATTTCTGGAGGGTAAAACAACTATATCTGCTTTACACCTTGTTATCTGCAAGGGATGGCTTTTTGCTTGCTTGGGTAGCCTCATGTAACCACTTCTTGTTAAGTCTCAGACGTTTTCTTGACACTTTTATAGGTGTAATGTTCCATGGACTTCACACATGACATCGTAAGACCATTACTAACTTTTCTCACAAAGCTTTTTTGAATAATATCTATAAATATTTCAGGATTCTGATCTATTGCTGTAAAATAATATAAATTGTTTTCTGTCTGAACGTCAGACCTGGCTTATTTGCTAGCACTGTCCTCCTGAGTCTAAAGGTTCCAAATTCAAATCAATTCAAGGGCATGAGCACAAAAATCAATACTAAGACTTCACTAGGCAGCTGGGAGTGTGCTGCAATGTTAGAGGTTCTTTCTTAGGATGAGGTGTTACATTGAGGTCCTGCTCAGGTAGATATAAAAGATTCAGTGGAACTGCTTTGAAGAAGAGAAGGAACACATTTCTGACATCTAAAGATCCCTCTAAGCTGCTGGGCAGCTCCACGCATGTCAGTCGACACACCACTGCAGGACTGCTGCTTCTGGAAACTGCTGCTGGACGTGAACCTAGAGGTCTGCACAGGACGAAGAAAAATGAGAGAACTACTGGTATCTTTGGCAATTACTTATTCCTCAATTAGCATTACAAAAGACAGGCTATTTGGTCTGATCACATTGCTGTTTGTGAGACCTTTCTGCACATAAACTGGTTGCTACGTTAATTGCAGTAAAACTGTAATAACACTTGGAAAGGACTTCATTGCCTCTAAAGTGCTTTGAGATATCAGTTGGTCATCTGAAGTGCTATGTAGCATTTTATTTATTAGAAGCTTACCTTGCTTGCACAGTGAAATACATTTACTGTATGCGGTAGTTAATTTTACTTATAGGTTGGTGTTCGGTGAGAATTCTCGTTTTATTGAAGGGTTGACTCAATTACTTAACTGGGGAAGACTGGGTTAAGTTTGTGTCCCTGTAGATGTGTGTTTAATTAAGTATTCTATTGTGTAGCTGAGACTGTCTCACACATTGTAAATGAAGCAGCAATGCTCAGTCTTTTGTGTGTGTTTACTGAAGAAAATAGCATAGATATAACAAAGCAGTAACGTGCAATCCTGAAAATACTAACCTTGAAATTGAAACTGTTCAAATAGCCAACCTGCTATTAAAAGTGAAAGTCTGCAACAAATTGAGATGGTGATAGAAATATGAATGTTGAAAACATTTGAGCAACAAAAATAGTTTTGAATATCAGAAAATCAAATATTGTGGCAGAAAATCAAACTTAAAAGTAGTTAGCAGTACTGCCTCATAGTTTTCTGAATATGAGGATGCTCAGTGTCACAGAGAATTGGATAGTGAAAGTGTTTGAATACAATTCTTTCACTTTCTTTGTTTGAATCTGCCCTAGGGATTTCTTTAGGTTACATATCAAGCCAATGCTTAGTGGGTGAGAATGTAAAAGTGCCCAAGTTGACAACAACTTACCCAATTTCATTCAAAGACTTCATGGAGAAT